TAAAAAGACAGTATAAGTCATTATAATCCATAATTATGTCCCCACTGGATGCAACAAATGCCTCGTTTATAATGGGTTTTAATGATTTTGTCTCATCGCTCCAGCCGGGACACGTCATCACAGCGTAACATTTCTGTCACATGCTTGAGGTATTCGGCCAATCACAACGCACTGGATAGCTGGCCAATCAAAGCACATCTCGCTTTTCAGATCGATGAGCTTTGTAAAAATCGACGCGTTTTAGAAAGGCGGGGCATAGAGGAGAAACAGTAGTGTACAATATGTGGAAAATAATGTGTTTTTTGAACCTTTAACCGCATAAACACATTTCATTACACCAAATACACAAAATAATGTTCTTTTTAGCAACATCATATGACCCCTTTAAACCGCAATAAAAAACAAATAAATACTGGTATTCAGTTAATATGGTTAATTTTATGGGTAAAAATAAATCATTTACAACACTTATGATTAAAAGATTACAATTCAGTTGATTTAACAATCAATTTAAATTAAGTAAGAGTAAGAGTGCCTTTTAAAATGCAGATAATGCCAATTGTTCCCCCCAAAAAGTGAAATGAAATAAAATAAAATAAAATAAATAAATAAATAAATAAATTCAGAGGAAAATTCAATAGAATGTTAGGAAAAGTCATAAGCACAATATCCTGGGACTGTAAACTGGGATATTTTACTATCCATATGCTCCATAAACACTACCATACGCACTCCATATGGGAGTGCCAATTGTACAATTGTGAGTAAAAACTGCTATGCAATTATTAATACACCTAATTATGGGAAAGTGATTGGAAACTCACCTTTCCAAAACTGCCTTTTCCCAATACTGCCAAGAAATTAAAGTCTGTGAGCCTGACACTGTCCACACTGCTTGAGGGTAAAGTGGATCCACTGGCATCAAAAGTGGTGATGGTTTTTTTGGGTGGACCCAATTTGGCTTTCTGCACACAGACATACAATAGCTGTAAAAACAAGCCAGAACTAAAGACAAACTTTTCTTATGAAGCACTTGGAATCCCATATGCAGTTAAGATGGAGCTGGAACACGTTTTCTGTCATGAGAATAGACCTCAGTCTGGGTAGATTCCATATAATTTTTTCTTTTTTTTTGGCAAATGAAAATGAGGCTGTGATGGAGATAAATGTACAGTCCATTCAACAGGTTGTACAGTCTTAATTATATTAAGTCTAAATTTCACATAATGTTTGTCAAAGTTGCCCACCAGAAACTGCTTTGGTAAAACATATTTTCAATGTTGCACCAGCTCAATAACTGACAGCAAAGTCGAAAACAAAAAAACATTACAACCCCTTGACCAGACTTTATGGCTAACATTTGCGAAAAAATAAAAATAAAATAATAATAATAGTAATTTTGTATCTACCCTGATTCAGGGCCATTAACATTTTAGAGATGCAGCCCAATAAAGCATAATCCATTTGCAGCATCATCTGCATTTCCTACCAATGTCCTATAACACAATCCATACACAACAAGGCTCATTCTAAATCTGCCTTCTTGATGAATTCTGGGTAGTGCCCATGCAGTTACCCAAGGCAGATGAAATTCTTTCCATCACAGCATGCAGAAGTCAGTCAGCAAGCCAAGATTCTCTGCCAAGCTAGACTGGACGACCTTGAGCTCAAACTACAACAGCAGCACACAATATATTTTTCATTGAAGAATATCTGATTTTGTGTAACCTACCTTCCTACTGAATGTATGGAGCCAATAATATATTGGGACAATTTTCAAAAGTTATTTTTGCACATCGTGCCAACCACTTCAGAGGTCGTTTAGGGCATAGCTTGGGTTGAAAGGGAAGTCATCCGAACAAGAAGCTCTACAAGTCAGAGTTTGATTGTGATGAAGTTTTTGGCCTAATAGCGATGTGTCCGATGAGATGGTGGTGAATATGTTAAATATCTACAAGCAAATTTGTAATGGCTACAGAGAAACCCTCTGAACTCTGGATCAGCTATAGAATGACAGTGACGAGAAACACCAGAGCAAAGACTGAAGGCCTCTATAAGGAATCGCTGAAGTTAAGAACCTTCTTTATCCTTGTTGTTAAACAGCTTTTGAGCACTCCAAGTTGGTGGTCAGGTGGTCTTGAAGTGTAATGACTTGCTCTTTTGTTGGTTTTGATTGCTTCTTTTGTCCTCAAGTTGCTTTGGATAAAAGCGTCTGCTAAATGACTAAATGCAATGTAAATGCTTTGGTGAGAAGCACTTCATGATTATGCAGTGGTGGAAAACATATTACACAGTGTCTCTACAGTGGGACAAAATTCATTCCCAAGTCTATGCATACCTCTATATCAGAAACCTATCACTGCCCAATGAGCAGGCACACACAACAAGTATTCTCTGTAAAAGGTCTTCACACTCTCACATACTTCAAGATGAAGCTGGATTAATGTAGCGACCATTTAATAAAAAAGTGATGCAGATAAAACGGGCATATAACCAGCCAGCCAATCAACATACACATATTTGAATGCTGCTGTTGGCACGCACCTGCTCAAGGTCCTCTAAAGTCTGATCCTGAAACCACATGAGAGGGGTAAACAGAGATATACATGCAGACAGGTAACACACATATGCATGAAAAGGAAAAGACAATAATTATCTAATTTTCCCAACCACAGTTATGGCCACTTATCTCTGGCAAAGTACTTAGCATGTGGATGCAATTGAGAAAGTCTGGGTAAATGGGGCGTCTCACTAGCCAACTTGTATGAACTAACTTTCGGTAGTGGGTTTCTCACCTGCCGACTGTTTTTGATGAAATCTCGCCATCTTCAGTCGGAGGTCTGTCACACACACACTGATTAAAAATGACAGAGGGGCATAATAAGCAGCTGCCTCTGAATTTTCTATCTGATTTACAAATAAGTGAAGCTTGTGAAATAAAAACAACAGGAGCATTGCACGAACATGAAGTGCTGTAATAAACTGACTTAAATCTTAAATCTATGAGATATGTATTTGTCATAGAAAGAATATGTTCATGCACAGATAAATAATTAAATTCGGAAAAATAAGCTAGTGAGACGCTGGCAATTAAAATCCTATATCAAAAAGTTTTTTTTTCACAGTATTTTATTTGCAATAGTCTTTCCCCCAAAATAATATTACTATATATTCCATTCCATTGGTCTGCTTAAAAGGCTATGGGTACATTCAACCCACAGCACCCAATGAAGCTTCAAGCACTTGTATTGCTTTAAATGATGCTGTTCTGCAAAAGGTAAACAGAAACTAACTATAGAGTTTCCACTTTGCTTCTCACAATAGATCATATCAATCTAATTCTCAATAAAAGTGGGTTTGATTATGTTTAGCTCCTCAAGCACAGGATGACATATGGTGGTGGGATTTCAACATCATCTAATTAAAACAAGCAAAAATGACAAGAAAATTATCACTGCCATCATCTGGCAAAACAAGGAGTTACTAGAAAACTGATTCTCAAAGCCGACGGTGACTGATGTGCCAATGCGTTTCTCGTCTAGTGCGCAACTAGCTTTAAATGTTTTATGAGTCACGTAGACATAAACAGCTCCAAGGCAGCTATACTGTATTTCTATGTGTACAAGCATCTACAGTATGTGTCTCAGGAAAGCTACAAGCAGATGAAAATTTTATATCTCCTAATCATGTTTCCAGTGCAACAATATATCTGAAATAAAGTATACACAAAACAACAGTTAAAATACTGACAGATCTGCTCCAGCTAACATGCTAAACAGATATACAATCTGAGTTACGTAATGTTATTGTTGACATAATAACAATGTATTTCACACTAAACATTTGCTGTTTCTCTCTTGAGTCTTTAGGCCTGAGGGTCACTCTAATAATTTATTGATGGTGTTTGCCAACCTGCTCATTCTACCTAGTCAATAAAGACAAAATAATTGTTCTAAAATAATGATTCGATTATCATTCTTTATGATTAATTCACAAGAGCTTATTGTTAGCAATTGGGAAATAAAAAGTTGTTCGGTAAGAGCCACAGACTAATTTATTATTTGTTCAGCCTCAGGTTGAATTCTTGACACAAACACAATTCATTTTTCATTTGTGTCAAAAATAGCTTTTCTAAACAAACACAAGATAAGTTTATGAGGTTTGCACATAAGGATAATATAAGAGTCACCTCAAACTTCTGTCGGAGCTCGGTATCCTCGTCATCTTCATCTGGAATAGGCACATTGTAGTACTCCCCCTCCTCCTGGTTTAACACTTTATACCTGCATCACAGGCAAAAGTTATGACTGCGTACTGTATTCATCAAAGCAAATTTTAAGTCCATACAGGTCTGTTTATTTACCAATGATTCATTCTGTTTAGAGTCTATAAAAGCAATATTTAATTTTTCTCCAAATAATATCATTATATAATTATATATTTCATAGCATGTCTGCTTAATTGGCTGCAGTGGTGTTCTTGTATCGTTGCACCATTTTTACATTTAAATTTAAATACAATTTTGGGAAAGATTATGTGAACAACAACATCAAATTAGCCTTTTTTTGCGACACAAAGCTAGCTTCAAAAGGCTTAAAATAGAGTGCACTACATAGCTTTGAAGTCGGTTTTTAACTAATGAGACATATCTAATAACAGTAGGAAATGACTGCTTAACAAGTGACCAAACCTTTTTCCTGTCAGATACTTACATGGGTCAGTGAGAAAGAGACAAATCCTTACCATCCACACACTGAGGATTTCATGAGCTCAGACACACCAAATGACATTGAGCCCAAGGAGGATGAAGCATTGCATTAGGGCTCTCTCCATCGTATTCTAAAAAAAGGCCTTTTCAGCTGCTCAGGGGCCAGATTATTCAAATGAAAACTCAAGAGAAGCTAAACATTTTTTACAGTAACTATTAACTATATCACTTTCATTGTAAACATTAACATGAAAACACAAACCGCCTAAGTATTTAAAATAGTGAGGGTATTACGATAAAGTTTAAGGTTCGCAAAAAAATTCCTTCAAAAGGTGAACATGATCTCACACCTAAAGGTTGAGTCTCATCTTTATAAAAAGACTGTCAAACTGTCTTAATGTATGTAGTTTTATGCACACATTATGAACACACGATGACACACATTGGTTAAACATTTAAAGCGTAGAATATAAGCAAACATTTCCACAAATATTAATTCCTCGTTACTGAATTTTAAAGGTGCACTAGGTAACTTTTTTTTTTAATTAACTAAATGTATTTAATGAGCGAGTACATAATGAATACAAATTGTGTTTTTGTCTTATCCTAAATCACTATGGTGAGACTCTAATAAGAGCATCTAACTGCCTCCTCATTAAAAAACAAAACAAAAAAAAACTATTCCTTCACTTTTTCTGTTCTCTTACTATCCTTATCCCTTCCTGTCCTAGCTTTTACTAATTTGAACGATGAGTGAAACCTTGTATAACAGGCACTTCTCGTGTTTATTGCCATCTTACGGTAAATCGCTTGCTGTATTCCTCAAATGTACAGTAAGTCGCTTCGGATAAAAGCGTCTGCCAAATTAATAAATGTAAATATAAATGTAAATGTAGACCTGCCGGGACGATCCCTCCTGGAGAACCTTAGTACCTGCATGACCTTCATTTCCATAAACAGAGAGAAGTAGCTCCAGCTACAATTTTTTTTTTTTTTTTTGCATGAAGCTTGGTTTTATTTATTAAACGATAGAGCCCCAACAATTAGATAGAGTACCTTTAATTATTTCATTTTTATTTACAATGTCATCATCATCCACCTGTGCAGATGCATCACTGTATCAGTTGCTGTGTTTATGATGATTTGTTCACAGTCAAGTTATTTGCATAAATATGTTTGAATGGATAAGATGTGATTGAATGTATGCATCTAAACGGTGCTGGTCCTAGTGCTTTTCTTTGCCACCACCTATCACTTAGGCTGCTTCCCCACCATAGAAATAGATCAGCAGTCAGCCCATTAAAACAATTCTTTACCCAATAAGGATAGGGATGGGGGACGGATTATAATAGCATATAGTACAGATCATGTTACAGAATTAAATGTGCCCCCACACCGATTATATTCAATGATTTGAATTTAGGACCTTATATCGATTTGAATACAGATCTACTATATGAAAGTCACTCTATAGAAAAGCCATATATTAAAATTGATGATACAGTATACCTGTACGGAAGTGTATTTTATAGAGCAAGTAATACCATGTTGTGTAAAAATCAATAAATAATAAAATGCGTATGCACATACAGTAAAACTAACACCAATGACACAATAATCCTAAATATTAGGCTGTAATTAAATGTTGCGACTCACAATGTAAATGACTCGTTCCAAGCCGGATTCAGGGAAGAACGGATGGTTTTCGTTTTCTGTTTCGTCTCATGTTTAGGGTCTGGAATCAACTTGAGTTTTACATATGGATCAGACAATCCATTCGGGTCCATTGGAATCAAGTTCTTGCCTTCCCCAACTGCAACACAACATGCCAAATAAGAGATGACATCAGAACATGTATTAATAAAATAAATAAAACATAGGTAAATAACAGAGGGCAGGTAATAAGTCTCAGGGTAACGTAACTCCACATAAACTATGAACTGTGACATAATAATAAAGAAGTGGCTTTAAACGATAATTACAATGCAATATGAATTGACTATGAATGTTAGCAACTGGATTAAGTATCATAATCAGGGTACAAATTTAAACACTCCAGATCAGGGTCATGCTGTCAGAGCAGAAATGCACATGTAGGTCTTTGATGCTCTTTGTTGAACTGATCTTATGTGAATGAAGGCATTCCATAACTGTCTGTCTGGTTTAGAGCGTTACTTTATATAATCACACATGACCAAACACACACACACACACACACACACACACACACACCATACATAATTTATACTTCAGTAAGTATCCATGAAAACTCATTCTTACACACACACACTCTCTCACACACGCACACTCTCACACACACACACACACACACACACACACACACACACACAATGCATAAGACAACACGAAAAGACCTGATACACATTTCCTTTACTCAAACCCACAGAAAGGTTAGACTTTGAATATTTAAATATGTCATAACCAACAAGGCCAATGCAAACATGTGGTGCCACTAACATTTATATCACTGAATACAATGAAAAACATGGGGCACATTAAAAAAGATATGCATATATAAAATTAATAAATAAATAGTGGAGGATCTGTCGAAGGACTTTAGTCTGTGAAGTAGACATTGCCAGACTACAACTCACACAGACTACATAACACACTGTCTACCTCAGTGCCTGAACTGCTTATGTTTGACAGGTAGGAGGCGCCCTACACTTTAATGACCTAACATGTCTGTGTTTGCTTCTCTCTCTTTAAATTCACTCATTCAATTTAAAAACACTTTATTGCAATGACATTACACATACAACACCACAAACCATAAATTCCAAATCCAAGAACACTTCATAGAGTGAAAATACAACAATATCATATAATAGCAACAATAAATCAGTTAAAAAGGAAACAAACAGCAAGATAGCTATTGACAAGATATGCTTCTGAAAGGATGTAAAGATGTGGTCCTAATTTCTGAGGATGTGGCATTCTAAAAACATAACCACAGCACAAACCTCATCTGACCAGGAAATATTTTGCCTGGCACAGCTCAAATGTAGCCAGGTATGTGAAAGTGAATGTAGATTCAAACATCACATGGAAGTACAGTACACAATATGGCCAAAAGTATATGGACATCCCCTTCCAGTGATGTAAAATCTTAATGCTGGATCACACAATGACATTTTAGAGAATGTTGTGCTTCCAACTTTGATGCAACCGCTTGAGGAGGGTCTTTATACAAAATGACAATGCCTGTGTATAAAATGTAAGGTCCATGTAGAAATAAAATTACTTTGTCATGTGTGGAAGAACTTAATTTGGCCCTGGCCTGAAGCCCTACTGAGCACCTTTGAGATGAATTGGAACAATGAGCCAGGCTCCATCACTCAATGAGAGTGTCTGACCTCCCTGTAACCTTGTGTCTTGTTGTTCACAATCTAATTTCAAAAGCATCAAAACAATCATGCTTTCATAACAACTTCCAGTCTTCTTGAAAGCCTTTCTGCTAGATGTTGTACAAGGATTTGCTGCCATTCAGAAACAAGAGCATCAGTGAGGTCAAGCATCGATGTTTGCGTTTGCCATTCCAATTTATGCCAAAGATGTTCAGCTGGCTTCAGGTCTGGGCTTTGTCCAGGCATTTCTATTCCTTCCACACCAGAATCGGTAAAGCATTTCTACGGTATATGGACCTCATTGAGCTTTGGCACACCATTACACTGACGCCAGATTAACTGTTGTCCTTTCTTGCACCACTTTTGGTCCTAACCACTACATAAAGGAAACACCCAATAAGATCTGCCATTTTGGAGATGCTTTTACCCAGTCGTCTAGCCATCACTATCTTGTCACTCAGATCTTCTTGCTTTTGCATTTTTCCTGCTTCCAACACATGAAATTCAAGAATCGACTGTTCACTTGCTGCCTAATATATCTGATATATTCAATATAATCAATGTTATTCTCTTCATCAGTGGTGTCAGTGGTTTTAATATTATGGCTGACCTGTGTATAGGGACATTGCCATACTGGAATAGAATTGACAATATTAATGGTAACACTTTGATAATGCATTAATTAACATGAACTAACATATTTATTAATGTTAGTTAATTAGTTAATGTTCATGTTAGTTCACAGTGCCTTAACTAATGCTAACAGATACAACTTTTGATCTTAAAAAATTTATTATTAAATGTTGAGATTAACATTAAGATAAATAAATTCTGAAGAAGTACTGTTAATTTGTATTTCATGTTAACTAATGCTAGCAAATGAAAACTGAAAAGTGTTACCACATTTGATGCAATCAGATATTTCCTCAGTTTTTCTTAAAATGAATCCATGAATTCTCAACTTTTTTTGGCAGGTGACTATACATGTTTTCACTGTGATTTGTGAACTTGTGAACACTTAAAATTAAAACTCAAGCAAAGAAAGAGTTAACACACACACACACACACACACACACACACACACACACACGCACATATTTCTAGCAAATCAAGTCACCTTTATTTCTATTGTGCTTTATTCAATACAGACTGTGTCAAAGCAGCAAAAAGGTCTGCTTGTATAAATATGTTTCTTCTCTATCTGGTCACTCCTTCTCACCTCTCCTAAAGCTTTACATGGTATATAACAGAGCAGATATTTAATTATGTGACATTTAGCAAGCAAAATTGTTACAGATATAACACACCACATCATCATTACATTAACAAACATATACATACTCATAAGCATATATGTGTATGCCAACAAGCAAACAAAGCCCTCTATTAGTGCACTCGCGCATGTGATCTATTCTTGAACTCATCAGTCTGACATTCTGCTAATGGCATTTTCTTCCTCAACCAGTGAACGTCACACAGACTAAATCACACTGCAGCTGTGTGTGTGTGCAGTTAGCTGGCACGTTGTAATCAGGCTGATTGTGCAGGTGCAGCTCCAGCACTCCAGACTCTGAATGTGTGGATCTGACCGGGGCCTTCAGGCTCTTCTACTGAAAGCAATGCTATAATACAGGAGCTCAGCTCAGCTGTACAAATGCTATACATACAAAATGTAAGGTTTTAAGGGTAATATACTGGTGACAACACAACACAGAGTATCAGGGTTGCAGCGTTTGGAATTTCTTTGAAAAAACAGAATACAAAGAACATCTACAACGACACTAACCTCAGCCTTAAAGGGGGCATAACACACACAGTTTCACCCAATCTCATGTTAATCTTGAGTACCTATAGAGTAGTACTGCATCCTTCATATCTCCAAAAAGTCTTTAGTTTGATCATATTTATAAAAGAAAGATACAGCTTTACGATTCTCTACGGAAAAAGCCGAGCTCCTGGAGGCGCACCGTGGGCAGAGCTAAAGAGTGACGAGCACTTGGGTGCCGAATGCCAACAAAACAGACATTTAATTTGATGCCGTTTCACTTGCCGTCTGCAGTTCTGAATCATGACCGGGATCTTTTATAGCTGGGACTGCTCCACCTTTCAGTATCAAACGATGTGCAAATCCAGCGTCGAACTGGCCCTTGTTTATAAAACGTTCGTCAACAAACACACTAGTTAAACTTCATTGCTGCTCCGGAAAGACAAACTGTATCCACTGTTTACATAATGCTGGGTTCTTTAGGAAGCGGAACAAAGTTATCTTTCCCTTACAACCAAAAACGCACTTCTTTGGATTGGAGACATTCTTCCCGAGCAAGTCCCATGCAGCGCTGCCGCCGGATGAAGCGCGTTAATGGGCGCGATCTCGCTCTTGCTCTGGTCAATGCGTGCGCAGGTGCGTTCTTCCAGGAGAAATGCCCATATAAGGAGTTCCACCTTCGTTTACGTCATTAAGAGCCACGATCGAAAAAAACTCTCCGAAACTTGTACGAACCCAGAAGTAAGATTTTTGGCACAGAAATACTCTGTCATACGTCCAAATTGTTTTTTTGAAACTTTGTCCATGCTTAGCATGAGAATCCAACTCTTTAACAGTGTAAACAACTCTGAATGCATGAAACAGCATTGTACCCCCCCCTTTAAATGTCACAACGGACCGCCCACTGTCTGCTCACTGACGGACTGATTCACATTGCTGATTGGCATGCTTTAAGCAACATCCACGGCACAGTTTATATATATGTGCTGTGGATGTTGCTTACAGTTTGCATGGCCATTGTTGCAACCTGTATAATTTTTCACACCCTCTAATAATCTGTTGTATTTATATGTCAATTTAGATCATTTTAAATTAATTACATCACATTCCTCCAAGTGGTGTGACTTCACAATAAGAGGCTCAAACTAAAAATGAAATAAAATATTGTACATTGATTATCTAGGGGAAAAAAGGAAATGATTCATTATTATTCTGTAATGATCTTTATTTTTTGACAATTATGATATGTAGAAAAAAAACCCTCAACTGATTTTTATAAAGTACAAGCACATTTGTGCCAAATGTACTGTGAATATGCAATATAATATTTTAACTGTAATATAGTGTGTGCACAATTAATGTTTACATTATATATGACTATTTTCCATGTCAATGATTCTTTTATCTTAACTGTTACAGCTCATTTGGTTTCTATTCATATTTTTGACCAATATTTTTGCTTTTCTTTGTATTACCTTTATGATGTCCCCAATTATGGTGCATTCCTAAACAGCACACAGTATAATGAAAGCAAAGCATGCACTAACAAAAGAATACAAGTGTATTGGGACAGAACAGGTAAAACTGGATTTAGAAACCATAGCAACACAATGTAAAGAGATGCATTTTCAAGTTGAGTTTTGAATTCAAAAGGTAAAAAGGTCATGGAGAGATTGTGTGAGAGAATTGTCAACTTGAACACCATCAGCATTAGCAGACAGTTCATGGTAAAAACTACAGGTAGTTTCTGAAGCAACTTATAAGACATTTGACTAACAATACATTTTATGTGCTTTTGAGGCATTTGCTGATCATTCAAATCTTGACATTGTGAAAGGAGCAGGGCAGAGAGTTGGGAACTAATGTCCAGTTGACATTAAAAAAAGTTAACGTTTGTTTGTAATCAGCATAGCCTTGAAAGTTGAGGTTGTGCTGGTAAAAGATGTGACTAAGTGGAAGCATATAGCAAATAAAGAGCAGTGGACCAAATACAGAACCCTGAAGGACACCCTGGGAAACAGATATGGAACAGCATTGACATGTTTTGCACTGTTGACAAATGAATTCTGACACTCACTGTCATCGGATCCAAGATGGCGCCTGTGTATTCGGCATGCCGTCTGTTGCTCTCGTGTTTGCTTGTCTGGTTGTCTGCTCTATCTTTAAACTGCTACACGCTTTTAATCTACGACCGTCAAGCACTCTTGGACATCCGCAACTCAGTTGCGGACACATTCACCAACTCTTACACTTTGGATGTGGACTGCTCCTTTGGCAATAGGAATGAGTCGTTCCTGGCGGTTATCCTGGATTGTATCCGCTGGTGGCTCCTCGGCATCCTGTGGAGAAAGCGAAGGAGGAAACGAGGCAAACGCAGAGGATACATCGTGAAGCTTAAAGCTCATCTGCGGGCTGGCTTTCTCTCGGATCCTTCCCACGGGTCATTTTGCGGCGGCTCTGCTGCCTGGCGCCCGCTGGATTTGGCCTACCGGTGGCTTCGTCCTGTTCTCCCCATGCACCCGAGTCCTGGTTCTCGTGCCGGTCTCCACCGAATCAGCCTCGGCTTCCGACGACGGGGAGTAACTCACGGAAATCTGCGCTCGCTGAAAAGAGTGTCCTCATCTCCTGACATTATTTCTTCACCGAAGATGGCATTATTAAATGCCCGTTCCTTGGTGAATAAGACCTTCTTATTAAATGATTTTTACTCATCTCACAACTTGGATTTTATGTTTATCACGGAATCCTGGATAAAGGTTGGTGATCTAACTCCTTTTTCTGATCTGATCCCTGCTGACTGTATATTTTTTAACTCTCCTCGTCCGAGTGGATGCGGGGGTGGGACAGTAACAATTTTATAATATAAGCCTATATTATTCTCACTGTCTCTTCCAGATCGCTCTCATTTTTCTAATACACCTGTAAATCTTTCTCGTTTCTACTCTCCACAGTTTAGCACACATTTCAACTTGTGCTTTGCTGAATGTTGCTCACAGTTGCACTTGGATCAACCATTATCTGACCTGGATGCTGATCAACATCTTAGCCTCGTGAATTCTGCCTGGCTTAAGGTAGCAAATGCAACTGCCCCCCTTAAGCCTCAAAGCAAAAACCAAAATCTGTACTGTGGCAAAACTCTGATACCCGTCTCCTAAGACAAAACTGCAGAAAGGCAGAACGTAAATGGAAAAAGGACAGGCTGCATATCTCTCTTCAAATGTTCAGAGACTCTCTTACATCTTACCAGACTGCAGCTAAGTCTGCGAAAGCTGCATACTTTTCTAATCTAATTGAAACTAATCATTCTAAACCTAAGGTTTTGTTTTCAATTATTCAATCTGTTACAAATCCTTCAGTTAACACCTTGCCTGTTGCCTCTGATGCTCTCTGTGAAAGCTTCTTGAGATATTTTAGTGACAAAATTATTAACTTAAGGCTTAGCGTCTGCCCCACTTTAACTTTAACTGTCTCTCCAATTATGTCATCTGCCTCTGCATTTTTGGATGTTTTTGAACCTATCAACCTCCAGGAATTGAAGCAAGTGATTGACAAGCTTAAACCTTCATTCTGTTCTAGCGATAGCGACCACCCTTTTGAGAGTGTTAAATGATATTTACCTCTCTACTGATTCCGCAGACTCGGTGGTTCTTATTCTTTTAGATCTATCGGCTGCTTTTGATACCATAGACCACTCCTCACTATTATCTAGATTAGAGTCTTGGGTAGGTCTAAAAGCAAACCTTCTGAAATGGTTTCAGTCATACCTGTCTGACAGAAAATTTTTAGTGAAGTTGGGTAATTTTTCCTCTTCCCCTGCTCCTCTGACCTGGCCTTCCACAAGGCTCTATTTTAGCTCCCTCTCTATTCTCTCTTTGCATGTTACCTCTGGGCTCTATTCTACGAAAACACGGTGTGTCTTTTCATTTCTATGCAGCTGACACTCAACTCTATCTACCAATCAAGAAAAACAATTCCACTGCGATTACTTCTCTTCTGAAATGTTTAGAGGAGGTTAAATCATGGCTAGCCCAAAATTTCCTCTTCCTAAATGAAGACAAGACCGAGGTAATTGTTTTCGGTCCAAATGATAACTCTCAGTGTATAAGCCCTGAGTTAGAAAGTTTATCCGTTTTTAGATCCTCGCGGGTGCGGAACCTAGGTATTCTAGTCGACCAGCATTTAAAATTTGATAAACATATCTCTTCTGTCATTGGGTCCAGTTTCTATCAGCTTCGTTTACTGTCTAAAATTAAAAAATTTCCTCACTCCTAAAACTCTAGAAATGGCTGTTCATGCGTTCGTTACGTCTCGTCTAGATTACTGCAATTCTTTATATTGCGGTATATCTAAATCTCAAATTGCGCGTCTTCAGCTTGTCCAAAATGCTGCGGCAAGACTTCTTTTAAAATGTCGTAAACATGAACACATCACTCCAATTCTTAGATCTCTACACTGGTTGCCGGTTTGTCAGAGAATAGACTTTAAAATTCTCCTCTTTGTATATAAATCCCTACATAACCAAGCTCCTGTCTATCTATCTGACCTTCTTTACTTCTATACTCCGTCTAGAAGCCTACGATCCTGTGACCAGGCCTTGTTGGTGGTCCCTCACGTTAGGCTTAAGCGTAGAGGGGAGTGTGCATTTGCGGTGGCAGGGCCACGACTCTGGAATACCCTACCTTTAGAGATTAGAATGGCCCCTTCTTTGTCTGTTTTTAAGTCCTTGCTAAACACTTATTTGTTTTCCTTAGTGTATTGACTACTGTGATATGGTAAATTTTAAACGTGCGGTTTTAAATTTTTGTCTGGTTTGTTCTCTGTGTATGTGGTAAAATTGTTGCTCTTCTGAAAAGCACTTTGGTCAGCCTGGTGGCTGTTGTATATGTGCTCTACAAATAAAATGAACTTGAAAAATAAAATGAACTTGTTGCACCATTGGCCATGAAAAACATGGAAACTCACCTGTGACATGCATTTTGTCTTCTATCACCTCGATCTTCAAGTATAGACGTCCTCGTCTCTCTGTGTGGTCCGTTCCACAAAGGCTTGGCACATTCATCACACACTGCTTATGGACATTCATATCACAGGCTGTGAACACACACACATTTGCATAAAGCAGGAGTTCCCTGATTTCATATTGACTTAATGAAATTAATACCTTGCACATAATATTTTAACATAATAGTAACATATAATATTACAATAGTTAATCAAATGATTACTCCATATACTGTACATTGACATAGAAAAGTCCCAAATAACCATTGACCCTAGAACCACCCCTCGGCAAAAAATAGTTTAGTATGGTACTTACAGTCACATTTCATCCCTTGGTGTATGAGTCCATACAGAAGAGATCCACAGTGGTCACAGAATGTGGGACTGCCATAGGTGTGGATCTTAAACTTGTGCTTGCTTCTAGGGTCCTACACAGATAAAACGATTCAAAAGAAAGAGAGAGAACAGGTCAGGAGATTGAGTCTGAGAAAACCTAAAAGGCAGGAACAGGAGACTGAAGCAAAGGATTCATGAGATTTTAAAATTCATAATGTTCAATATTCAATTAATCTGGGTCAAAATGGTATAGATTCCATGGTGATTAACTTCATCATGCCATGTGACACTATACAGGTTGTGAAGTCATGCTGTGACACTTGCCTATATAATTGTGTGATTTGCACCCTGTCTACACCAAACATGAGTGAAGTGGTGTATTAAAAGTAAATATACCTGCTGTCACCAACAGTAACTAGATAAACCATTCTATTTTTGACATACTACACTGCTTCCGACAACATGACAAATGTATTTGGAACATCGGCTGGAATGTTGGAATGTGACATGTTCAGTGTTAAACAGACTCAAGTTGCAGAGGGGCATCACATCAGCAAATGCATCTGGTATAGTCTGGGTGTAAGGGGGAAAATGCCAGGACTGAATTCTACTATTCGATCTTTTTGGAGACAAAAAACAAGACATTTCCCTTGAAACAGACTCATATTTTTCTATATAATTATAAACTCAAGGCAAACATTAGTCAAGCCAGACATCATCTGTAGTTATGTAATTAAAAACAAACACTGACATCCTGAAGGAAAACATAGAGGCTGGTTCCAAAGGACTAATATTACCTGATATTATCAAGAGCAACTTTTATGATGCTTTTTTGTTACTTTTATTTATTTATTTATTTTTATTTATTTTGGATCTTGAGAGCCTTTCTGCTATTTAGAGCTGGATAGTAATTTATTACATGTAATCTGGATTACGTAATCAGATTCCAAAAATTGGTTACACTTTATTTTAAGATGTCCTTGTTACAGTGTAATTGTACATTTAAGCCCAGAGTAATTAACTACATGTACTAACTATATGGTTAGGGGTAGGATTAGGGTTACTTGCATGTAATTATGCATAATTTATTGTTTATTGTACATGTAATGTGTAACAATGACACCTTAAAATAAAGTGTTACACAAAAATTAAGTGCTTGTAATTAGATTAAATTACATTTTAAAATACTCTGAATCAAATACTTACATGATTACATATAATTCATACAATAACAATAAATTATTTATAATTTATGGATTCTCCCCAAATTTTCTTTTTAATCTTTTACATTTTCTTTTCTATAATAGCCTACCATTTACACACACAGAAAGTCTTCCAGTTTTGTGGGCATTCACACAATACCTTTTTTTTTTGTAAGTGTTTTATTTTGAATTATGTTATTTTAAAATGATTTATTTAGATTTTACATTGTTATGATTGATATAATTATTTGTTTTTCATTAAACTCACGAACCCCCTGCAGTTCCTTCATAATCCCCAGTTTTGGAAATCTAGATGTAATGTTTGGTGCACTTCATGTTGTCAGTAACAATGGAATATTTGGAATGGAATAATGGAATATTTTCTTTTTCTTTGCATTTTTATATCAATTTGGCACAAGAGCCTATTTAAATCCATATGATAAACGAGCTAGGTGAAAAGTAATCTAAAAGTAATCAAAAGGTGAAAAGTAATCTAAAAGTAATCAAAAAGTAATTTCATGTCATGTATGAGAGAATGAGAGATCCCCCTCATGAGTGTAAAGCACTTTGGGTGTACAGCAATACACAATAAAGCTCTGTTGCTAAACTTAAATGAAAATCATACAGGTTTAAGAAAGTGATGAGGTTGAGTAAATGACAGAATTATTAGGTAACACTTTATTTTAAGGTGTCCTTGTTACACGTTACATGTAATTACTATTATA